TCTGCTGAAGATGACCTGGCTATCTGCTCCAATAAAGATTACAGCCTTGGAAACCCTATGGGACAGTTCTGTTCTCTGCTACAGGGTCGCTATGAGTTGGAATTGACTTGGCGGCAACAGGTTTTAATGATGTTGAACACATTTTCATATTTTTTATTGGCTATTCTACTTTTGTTTCAGATGCAAGTTTATATCTTTTGCCATATCATTTTTTTTCTCTTTTCTTATTACAGATTGAGCTCTGGTGGCACAGTGGTTAAGTGCTCGGCTGCTAACCGAAAGGTCACCAGTTTGAACCCACCAGCCTATCCATGGAAGAAAGATGTGGCAGTCAGCTTCCATAAAGATTACAGTCTTGGATACCCTTATGGGGCAGTTCTACTCTGTTCTGAAGGGTCACTATGAGTCTGAATTGACACAATGGCAACAGGTTTTCTGGTTTAAAGTTACGTATAAATACAGGATATTAAATATTGTTAGTTGTATATATTGTCAATAACTTTTTTCTGGTTTGTGGCTCATCTTTTTACTTTCTTTCTGGGGTCTTTTAATGAATAGAGCATCTAAAATCAAATGTAGTCAAATGTATTCTTAATGAATTCCTTCATGAATCTTTAAGACATCTTGTTTAAGAAATTTTCCCTACCCCGAGGTCATACATTCTCCAAATCATCTTCTATTTTATTGGAATAGTTTCCCTTTCACTATTAAGTCTTTAATCCACCTGGAATGAATTTTTGTGTATGATGTGAAGTACAGCATCAGTTGAATATTTTTCTGCATTGTTAATCCATTTTTTTGCACCACTTAATAAAAAAAAAAAAAACCCATGCTAACTCTCGTATACTGTTTTCACACATGCGAAGGTTTGTTTCTGGGTTCTCTGTGGGTTCTTCTGGCCAACTTATCCAACCCATCACAAAGCCACACTGCACACTGGATTAATTATGAGTGTTTTATGATGAGTCTTGATATCTAATGAGGCAAGTGCCACTTGCTTCTTATTCTTTAAGAGTTTCTACCTAATTTTGCCCTTTGTTCCTCAAACATATTTGAGAAATAGCTTGCCACATTCCACAAATAGAAAAACAAACTATAGGGATTTTCATTTCATTTAATCTATGCATCAATTCAGAGAGAACTGACATATTAATTTTATTAAGTCTTTCAACTCATGGAAATGGTATATTTTTTCCCATTTATCTAGGTCTTCATTAATATTTTCCCATAAATATGTATACTTTTCACTATAAAAGCTTTGCACCTCTTTGATGGATTTATTTTCTACTTCTATATTACTTTCTCCTTTTATTCCATTTTCCTTGAGTTTTTCTGTTGTGCTTAATTAGTACATTCATTTTCACCCTATGGTGCAGTGTTTAAGAGCTCAGGCTGCTAACCAAAATGTCGGCAGTTTGATCCACCAGCTGCTCCTGGGAAACCCTATGGGGCAGTATTACTCTGTCCTATAAAGGTCACTGTGAGTCAGAATCGACTTGATAGCAACTGGAGTGGGGTGCCTCCAGGCACTTACTGGTGGAGATGAAGAACTTTGGAACACTTGCCCCAGTGGAGCAGACACAGGCGGTGAGGCCCCAAGGGGCCAAGTGGCCAAGGAACTAGAAAGAAGAAGCTGAAGAGACAAGGAACACAGGAAGCAGAGCTGTCTCAGTCTCAAAAGGTAGGGCTACGACCTCTGAGGTCTCAAAGTGTGGAGCTGCCACTCAGATGGACTAGGAGCATGGGGCTGCCCAAATACGAGGGAGCACAATTGTCGTTCCATTGGGTCTGGAAGGTGGAGCTGGAGCCCAGAGTCAAAGAGCCTCCATTCAGAATCCAGAGAGTGTGGCCAACACCTAGAGTCTGGAGGGCAGAGCCATTGTATAAATGGTCTCAGAGAACAGAGGATTATTTTCAAGCCTTAAGGGCTAATGTAATATGTTCTGCTGAGTTGCTTGGTGCCTGTTATCCCTTCTTTCCCTCCAATTTCTCCCATTTGTAATGGAAATGTCTAGCTTGTGCCTGTTCCACCAGTATACTTTGGAAGCAGATAACTTGTATGAAGAGAAATTTTTGGATTTTGGACTTGGAGTTGATTTAAGACTTTTGCTATGATATGATTGGGTGAGTGTGTTTTACATTTGGCAAGGATATGAATTTTGGAGGGGCCAAAGGGTAGAATGTTATGGATTGAATTGTGTCCCCCCAAAATTTGTACGTCAACTTGGCTAGTCCATGATTCCCAGTATAGTGTGATTGTCCACCATTTTGTCATCTGATGTGATTTTCCTATGTGTTGTAAATCCTACCTCTATAACGCTAATGAGGTGGGATTAGCAGCAGTTACCTTAGTAAGGCAGGACTCAATCTACGAGATTAGGTTGCATCTTTAGTCAATTTCTTTTGTGATATAAAAGAGAGAAACAAACAGAGAGACATGGGGACCTCATACCACCAAGAAACAAGAGCCAGGAGAATAGCACATCTTTTGGACTTGGGGTCCTTACACTGAGAAGCTCATTGACCTGGGAAGATTGATGACAAGGACCTTCCTCCAGAGCTGAGAGAGAGAAAGCCTTCCCCTGGAGCTGATGCCCTGAATTCAGACTTCTAGCCTACTAGACTGTGAGAGAATAAACTTCTGTTTGTTAAATCCATCCCCTTGTGGTATTTCTGTTATAGCAGCACTAGATAACTAAGACAGCTTAGATCATTAATTTTCATCTATTCTTATTTTCTAAAATAAGTTTTTAAAGGTAAGCATCCCTCTAAATAATGCTTTAGCTACCTCAGACATTTTGTCAGATGGAATTAACACTATTATCAGTTCAAAAATATACTATTTTGCCTTGCCATTTTTTATCTGATCTAATAATTACTTAGAAGTATGTTTATCAAATTCCAAAGATGAAAACTTTCTAGTTTTCTTTTTATTATTGATTTCAGACTCAATTGAATTTTGGTTATATTTTCTTTGTAGTTCAACATGTTATCAAATTTTTTTTTCTGCGTGCTGAAAAAGAAAACATATTCTGCAGTTTTAGCTACTGTGTTATATACATGTTTATTAGCTAGAGCTTGTAATTATGTTCTTTGAATCTTGTATGTGCTTATTGATTTTTTTCTGCTTCAGCTAACAAATAATACAAGAGATAAGTTAATATTTCTCATTATAATGATACATTTGTGTATTTCTCCTTATAATTCTATTTTTGTTTCATGTATTTGATATTATGTATTTTTAGTGAATTAATGTCTGGGAAGGCTTTTTAAAATAAACCCTATTTTAACTGATATTAATGTAGTCATATTTACTTCTTTTGGATAGCATTTAATCAATATATCTTTTATATCTTTTTAATTTCAACAATTCTGTATCCTTTTGAGTTAGATGTATTATTTTATATACAGTTTATAGTTTTTTTTTAACTTGGAGCATTTAGTCTGTTTATTTTTATCATAATTACTGATGTATTTGAATTTATTTCTACATTTTTTCTGCTTGTCCCACTTCTCTACCTTTTTTTCTCCTTTCTTGCTTTTTTCTTTCCCTCCCATGCTCCACATTGTTTGAGAATCATTCACTTTTTTTTCCTATACTTTTAAGTGTATATACTTTAGAAATTTTAAGATGCATACATTAGTTAGAGAAGTCTAAATTTAATCACTATATCTTGCCTCCTCTGAAATAACATAAGCACTTCAGAACAATTTACTCCCATCTCAATATTTATGATAAGGTATACATGTTCATTATTTGTTTCTTCTGAAGTTTGTGTACATTCTGCCCCCTAGAATAAAGTATTTGTATCCTATGAAGCCTAACATTTTCCTTGTGCTTCTTCAGTGAGTAGAACTCTACAAGAAGAAATTGCTAAATAAAAGTTGACACAGTTTTATACATAAGAATTTATTCTGTTAGAATCTGTAATGTTACATACCTTAAAGCAGAGAAAGTAAATGACCAGATAGAGAAAATGGCAATCAAATATTCCATGCACATAGGTCAGACATGGCAATGACGAAAATAAACTACTCTTGGCGGCAATTATTGATAAATAGCATCCTTAATAGAAAAATGTTTTACAGTTTTCCATGATTATTAATTATGGTAGACATAACTAATATATACCAATAACTGGTTCTCCTCTCCTAAGGGACACTCATATTATCCAAGTTATATGTCGCTGTGTGACTTTCTTTGGCAATTAAATGTGAGTGAAGTCACCTGTATTACTTCCCAATGAAAGCATTTAAGAGCCCGTATACAATGTTTCATGCTTTCTGCCCCAGCCTCTTTGACCCAGGTGGCATATGTTTCAGATGGTGCAGCGATAGGGTGATGATGTCTCCATCAGCCTGGATCACCAGGGAGGCTGCATGGGCAGAATATGCTCTGAAGAGTTGTCAGATCCACATCAAACTGGATAATCAAAATACAGTCTTGTGTTGACACAGGGACTTTGGGATTATTTGTTAACTGCAGTACCATATTGGCCCATTCTGACTAATGATGTATTTAACTTAATGTTTATCCTATCAAGCAAAGTGGATACTATTTATTCCCATGTTGGAGATAAGATTACTGAGACAGAGCAAAATTATGTTGCTTCCCAAAGTCATCCACATCTATGTAGCAATATCTGGTGCTGATTCACTTATAAATAAAATATAAGACACGTATGATCCACTGCCATCAAGTCAATTCCAACTCATAGTGACCCTACCGGACAGAGTAGAACTGCCCCATAGGGTTTCCAAGGCTGTAATCTTTATGAAAGCAGACTGCGACATCTTTTTTCTGTGGAATGGCTGGTGGGTTCAAACCACCGTCCTTTTGGTTCACAGCTGAGCGTTTAACAACTGCTCCACATGGGCTCCTTAAGACATGTATAAGCTGATTAAATTAATACCACCTTATTTTATTAGATGCCAGTATAACTCCTACTCAACACTTAATTAAAACATTTGTAAAATGAAATCTGCATTGTGATACTTACTGGGAACTATAAATTCTATTTCTTCTGACATAGCAACTCCCAGTTTATTAGCAGCAAAGCAGCGGTATTTTCCTTGAAAGTGAGATATGTGTCCTTCATTTGGGATCTTGAATGTTCCTGAACTGTTAGATACAATTATCCGGGGGTCAGAGAGATTAAAAGGCTTGTCATCCTTAGTCCATGTGAATCTATAAAACAAAATTAAACTTAATAGTCAAAAAAACCCCATAATTTTCTTCTTAATTTAAAAGTATAAAAAGATGCGTGCAAATGGCAAAACCAAGACATACGGGTTAGTGGACTATAATAGCACATAATGGAATATAACAGAATATAAACACGACTCCCCCCAAAATTTGAAAAAATAGTACAATCTATAACAATGCTGTGACAACTGAGAGAATCAAAACTGAAGGTAGTTTTATTCTGTTCATTTTTTATTTTTATATTTTTTTATGTTCATTTTTTATTCTGTTCAAATTTTTAAAATTTCCAATCAGAATGGTAATGCAGGCCATTTCTGATATTTTGATGGTTGCAATAAATACAAATGTATAATGTGTGTGCATGTGTGTATTTGTGTGTAAAGCTCTAACCCAAAATCCCAAAACACACAAGCAAGTACTATTAAATTTGGTCATATTTTCTACAAGTATTTTCAACATACCTGTCACACAATTGTGACCACAATGAATATAATTACGTCAACTGAGTTGTTCTAGTTATTACGATGGTAGTAAAGACAGTTTTTATGACTGCATTATCTTCTGTTACCTAGGTACTATTTAAGTTACTTAACATTTCAATATTTTTCCTTTTTATGAACAATGTGATAAACAACGCTGCATATTTATCTTTTGGTACTTGCCCAAATATTATGTCATGTCAATTCCTTAAAAGTAAAATGCATGGACCAATAACATAGGAAGTTTCTGGTTTTTTTAATTTGTTGTGAGCTAATTCAAAGGTTTATTTTTCAATTTTTTTAAATAATTTATTTTATTTTTTGTTGTTGTTGAGACTATACACAGCAAAAACAGACACCAATTCAGGTTCTACATGTACGTTTCAGTGACCTTGTTATATTCTTTGAGTTGTATAACCATTCTCACTCTCCTTTTCTGAGTTGTTCCTTACCCATTAACATAAACTCACTGCCCCCTAAGGTTCCTATCTAATCTTTCAAGTTGCTGTTGTCAATTTGATGCCATATAGATAGATCTTAACAAGGCATAATGCTCAAGGCAGACATTCCTTACTTGTTAAGCTAAACTGTTATTTGGTTTTAAGACTTCAGGGGATATTTTTGTTTAAGGTTTAAAGATTATTTTAGGACAAGAGTTTCAGAGGTTTATCCAGCCTCCATGCCTCTTGTGATGGTGGTGCAGTGGTTAAAGTGCTCAGGTGCTAACCCACCAGCCACTTCGAGAGAAAGATGTGGCAGTCTGCTTCTGTAAAGATTTACAGCCTTGGAAACCCTATGGGGCAGTTTCTACTCTGTTCTAGAGAGTCACTATGAGTTGGAGTCAACTCCATGGCAATGGGTTTGGTTTTGAGTCTATCCAGCCTCCGTGGTTCCAGAAAGTCTGGAATCCATGATAATTTGAAATTCTGTTCTACATTTCCCCCTTTTGATCAGAATTCGTCTATAGAATCTTTGAACAAAATGTTCAGTAATTGTAGTAGAGCACCAGCCAGTTCCTCTGGTCTCATGGCAAAGGAAGCAGTTGTTCATGGAGGTAATTAGCCACACAATTCGTTTCCTCCTCCTATTCTTGACTCTCCTTCACATAGGAAGTTTTTTGGAATTTTTTATATATGCTGCACAATTGTATTCCAGAAAAAAAATGTACACAAATTCCCACTCCAGGATATGAGAATGTCAGTCCTTGGGACAGTCAGTCCTTTGGGTAATGCTGTTAAAAGCCTTTTTTTCATTTTTGCAATCTGATATAAAAATAACAATTTTTTAAGTAGATTTTATTCAGCATTTTATATACTAATTATCCATGCAAACTTGGATATGTTTCAGGACACCATATTCTTATACTAATCTATCTATTATTCCTCCAACAGAAATAACATACATTGATGGTACCTGCAGTTTTGTTAGGAATATACCTACCCTCTGTCTCATACCTTCTTTTACTTCACTTTCTATGTTTAAGTTTTACATCCAAAATAATACATAAAGTCTATTTTTTAAAGTTGAAATAAGTTTACTGGGATCACTTAAGAATTCAGAATTAAACATTTCCACTTGAAAGTATGTTGCTTTTTTCCATCATTAAAATATTTTATGATCCTGGATACAACTGTATAGTTTTTCCCTCCCAATTTAGATCCTACATAGTTCTTGTTCCACAGTTTTTGATGTTGCTGTCCCTGTAATTGTTGAGATTGCTGGATTTGTTGTTTCTACTATTGTAAAAGGGATATTTTCTCCTTATTTTCTAATTATTTTATAACTGCTTTGTATAGGTATCTAATTAAGCTTTTTTAAAACAAGATATATTTATAATCAGCCACTTAAGGAGATTCTCCTTGTTTATAAAGCTTGCTTTTGTCCAGTGGATTTTCTTGGGTTTTCAGATAGAATATCAAGTTATATGAATATAATAATAATATAATTTTAATTATACTTTCCCAATATTTATTAGAATTAATGAATTTTTAACATAATTATATTGACTATGACTCTGGAAAAATGATAATAGTATTAAGAGCAGCCTTTGTTTTCTTATTTCTAAATTTATTAAAAATGCTAATAATATTTCACAATTAAATACAATACTGTACATTGGTATGATAAGTAAATTTCATCATTTGTCATCTCTAATGATAATTGTATGTTAATCTCTTTTTATATGATAATTTTGTTAATTAATATTAACATATTTACTAATATTCACCCATCCATATTCATATTAATTAATGCATGCTTCTTCATCCCATTATAATTTTATTAATATTTACATATACTGACTGAATATATTCTATTTGGTAAAATATAGGAATAATAATAATTTAACATGTTAATGATTCACTAATAATGATTTTTAAAATATCACATTATCAGGAAACAGTAACGTTAGTTGCAATACAATTTAAAATAATTTATTTTTATTAAATCTTATCTTCTTCTTAGATACAAAATAATGAAGTAGATCAAAAAATTGCTGATTCCCATTTTAGAATCATCTGGAACTTTAAAATCTAGAATTCTCCCTACAGCTTCCTCCCCACTCCCAATACACATACATTTCTTTCTCCCTTCCAAAACATAGGAGGTACTTGGAAAAAGCTCCTTCAGTGATCCTGATCACCTAGGGTGACAATTATGTAATTAATAATACAGTATTAGAGAGTACTATCCCATACAAACAGAATGAAGTCATCTGGAATGAATTCATATTCCTATGAAAAAAAAAAATCAAGCAACAACCTAGTCACTGAATAAGATATGTGGTACATTTAGACTTGCAGTAATAAGCGTACATATAGAATATTGTTTATAAAAGTGTTAAATTTGACTTAATAAATGCTATCCTTTACTAAGTAAAATAAAGGATTGCTGATGTTTGTCTACCTTGTAAGGGTAAGGAACTGTTGAGTGTTTTTGTTTAGGGTAAGGATTTGTTGACTTATGCCAAGTGTTTAACAAAAAGCACCTTATTTTTACCATGGTCTCGGGGAACATCTAGCTCAATTGGCATGACACAGTTTATAAAGACAGTGTTCTACATTCTACCTTGGTGAGTAGTGTCTGGGGTCTTAAAAGCCTGTGAGCAGCCATCTAAGCTACTCCACTGGTCTCATCCCTTCGGGAACAAGGGAGAATGAAGAGAACAGGATACAAGGAAAAGATGAGTCCGAAGGACTAATGGACCACAGCTACCAAGGCCTCCACCAGGCTGAGTCCACTACAGCTAGATGGTGCCCGGCTACCACCACTGACTGCTCTGACCGGGATCACAACAGAGGGTTCTGGACAGAGCTGGAGAAGGATGTAGAACAAAATTTTAACTTATAAAAAAAGACCAGATTTACTGGCCTAAAGGAGACTGGAGAAACCCCAAGAATATGGCCCCCAGATACCCTTTTAGCTCAGTGGTTAAGTCATTTCCGAGGGTCACCATTCAGCAGGGGAGTTGACAGCCCCATAAAACCAAATGGGACTAATAAGGCACAGCAGTCCAGGGACAAGGGCTAGAAGGCAGAAGTGGACAGGAAAGCTGGTGATAGGGAACCCAAGGTTGAGTGAGGATAGTGTCGATGTGTTGTGAGGTTGTTAACCATTGTCATAAGGCAACATGTATACTAACTGTTAAATGAGAAACTATTTTGTTCTGTAAGCCTTCATCTAAAGTGAGAATAGCAGCACAATTGGAAGAGCATAGTCGATGTCACTGAACTGTGCATGTATAAATTTTTGAAATGGTGTACTTTGTCTATGTGTATTTTCACCAAAAAAAAAAGGTTGAGAAGGGAGAGGGTTGACATGTTGTGGGGTTGTTAACCAATGTCATAAAACAATATGTGTACTACTGTTGTGTGAGAAACTATTTGTTCTTCCAGTCTTCACCTGAAGTGAAATTAGAAATAAAGCACCTTATTTTATAAGAAAATTAATTTGAACAGGCAGAAGAACATTTGTAAAATCACCAACTTTTAGTTTTATAGATACAGCTATCATTCACTTGGAAACAATTAGCTTCAAATATATGAGATTTATAGTCCAACAAGCGTATAATGGTAGGAGGAAGAAAGTAGTATAAACGATGGCATACATTTAAAGAATTCTTTGGTTTGAAGGAATACTCACATTGGTGCTGGATTCCCCTTAGCTTCACATTCAATTTGAAAATATTCATCAAAAGGAAAAGCAACTTGCACTTTTGACTGTTTTATAATTGTTGGAACCTGTTGAACTAAAAATAAAAACATGCATTTGAAGAACACACTCATCAAAAACTTGGCAAGGTTAATATCACTATGACAGAAAGACTTAAAAGCAATTTCTATATTGACAATCAAAAGGACCACTACAAGAATGGAAATCATAGAACGAATCTAACCTTTTCTTTATAACATATATTTAATTCTAAGAATACACCTCACTGCATCTTTTCATGTCTCCATATAGGTTAGTTTTATTTGAACCCAGAATAATGTAATAATTTTAAAGCAGAAGAAAAATCACCCATATCATCACAACTTAAACATGTCTGTTTTCACAGTATTGCCCTTGAGTGTATGCATTTTTACTTAGTCCAATCATTTTGAATGCTCTGGTTTGTATTTAAAATTTTTCATATTTCTCTAGAGTCATTATATTTATTTTACTGCTTTCATATTATTTTTCCTATTGATATTCTAAAACTTAATAATTGATAAGATTGTTTACAATTTTTACCATATGCTTCAGTGGAGATCCTCGAGCATATAGACTTTTCACGTATTGAATTAATCGACCTATGATAAATTTCCAGGCATAGACACAAATGGTAATGAATCTGGATAAGTGTTACTATCATTTGACAAAAGCATATTTCACACAAACAATGCATGAGTACAGTGGTTTCCCCACTGAACACTACCACTGAGAATGTCAGAATATTTTACTAATTTTGGAGAAGGAAAACAGAACCTCTTCATTCTCTTTATTGTGATTTGCATTTATTGCTTTTGATAATAAATGTTTTCCTTGGGCTTGCTTATTATTTGTCATTTCACATTTTTAAATTCTCCTTTCATTTCTTTTGTCCACTTACTTGTTGGGGGCTTAAGGCTTTTTTTTTTCTTTATAGAAAACCTACCGATAATCATTCATCTAAAGATAAAAGCTAATAGGGTAATTTTTTAATGAATAGATTCTTCATACTCAAACACCCTTTCATCATGAGATATGCTTTGTTAGTATTTGCCAAGTTACATAACCCTGAAACAAATTTTTAAAAAAGGGAGTAGGTGACCTTGCCTCTCACCAAGTCAAGTGGCTAGATTATACGTCTGAGAAATTATGATTATAAAATAAATATATTAATGCTGAAGATATAAACTTGGGTTAAGTTTGAAATAGGACACAGATCATGATGTATGTAAAGGTCTACTGCTGACAGTCAATATTTTTTCAAGTTGACACGTCTCTGTTTTAGAATAGTTATTACAACCTCTAGTAAAAGGACAGAATTAAATTAATAAGGAAGTGCAAACTGTTCATCAGCAGGAGCCTGACTTTGGCAAATATGTTTTGAGAAAAGCAATCTGCCAAAGGCACAGAGCTTGATTTAAATGTGTAATATTCTGCAGTGGAATTACAAAGAGCACCCTAAACTCTGTGGCCTTCAGTCAGGCCCTGAACCACTCTCTCTGTTTTCTCATTTGTAAAGCTAAGAATTTGGCCTAGATAAGTTGTTCTCAAAGTGTTTGCTCCAAGGACCCCTTTACATTCTTTAAAATCATAGGATATCCCAAAGAGCTCTTGTCATGTCAGTTCCCGGTATCAATATTTAAACAAACAAACACACCAGCCTGAGACCAGAAGAACTAGGTGGGTGCCTGGCTACCACCAACAACCGCTCTGACAAGGATCACAACAGACAGTCCCAGACAGAGTGGGACAAAAATGTAGAACAGAATTCAAATTCACAAAAAAAGACCAGACTTACTAGTCTGACAGAGAATAGAGGAACACCCAAGACTACGGCCCCGGAAAGTCTGCTAACCTAGAACTGAAACCATTCCGATAGCCCTTTTTTCAGACAAAGATTAGACAGGCCTATAAAACAAAAAATAACACACCTGAGGAATGTGCTTCTTATTTCAATCAAATATATGAGACCAATGGACAACGCCTGTCCTAATGTAAGATGAGAAGGCAGGAAAGGACAGGAACTGGACAAATGGACACAGGGAACCCAGGGTGGAAAGGGGGAGTGTGCTGGCACACTGTGGGGATTGCAACCAAGGTCACAAAACGATACGTGTATAAATTTTTGAATCAGAAATTAACTTGAGTTGTAAACTTTCACCAAAAGCATAATAAAAACCAACAAAAAATAGTTGTCATGGAATCATTACTGATTCATGGTGACCCCATGAGTGTCAAGAGTAGAACTGCGCTCCATAAGGTTTTCAATGGCTAATTTCTTGGACGTGAATCACCAGACCTTTCTTCCAAGGTGATTCTGGGAGAACTTGAGCCTCCAATCTTTGGGTTAGCAGCCAAATGTGTTAACTGTTTGTACCACCCAGGGATTCTCCATCACTATTTACCATATCAGAAATTAAAATTGAGAAATAGTAAAAAAATATTTATTTATTAATTCATTTAAAACAATGCTTTTACATGTTAAAAATAAATAACATATAAACACTAAATGTAATGAGAAGAATTACAACGTTTTACATTATAGTAAATTTCTTTAATTTCTGGCTTAAGAGAAGACAGCTGGATTTTTACATCTGCTTCTGTATTCAATCTGTTTCAATAGGTTTCTTTGTTGAAATATATGAAGAAACTGCAGATAAGCAGTTGAAAAAGGGTGGAGCATTTTACAGTCCTTTCTGATAGGTGTGGATAGTCTCCTTGGGTGTAAACCAAAACTCAACAAGTGATAGTTTCTTAAATATTTACTGCAATGTGGAATCTAAAACCATATCTATAAATGTTTCATGTTCTGTTACATTAAAATATTTTACCCATAGATCTTTTACCCATGCATGTTTTGTAACATCACACATTGGTCATTTGGAAAAATATTAGTTCATTGAATTATAAGAATCTTTCAAACATTGACCCATTTCATTGTGTTGTTATTGTTAGGTGCCACCAAGTTGGTTCTGACTCATAGAAACCTATGTACAACAGAACAAAACATTGTCTGGTCCTGCGCTATCCATTTCATTACAGAATATCAAAAAATCACTTTTGTTAATATCATCACTGAGCTAACCAGAAATGTCTTAAGTGTTGGGAAGCTGTCAAGCTCATTCTCATTTTTGCATGAAACACTCAAATTCTATCATTGACAACATACAGTAAGTCTCCAGGTTATGAACATCTGACTAGCAGACAAGTCATACTTGCCCTTTAATGTTATGTAAATTTGCCTTCACTTTGAAATGGTTGGACCAACCCCTACTCGCAACAAATTCTTCATCACAATCAGGTTCACTTGCTGCAAGTGCAGCTTTCAAATTATTGAAAAGGCTTTGAGCCTTTTCTTGCACTAACCCACCCACTGCTATAGAGTGGGTCCTAACTCATAACGAACCTACAGGACAGATTAGAACTGCCCCATATGGTTTCCAAGGCTGTAAATCTTTACGGAAGTAAACTGCCATATCTTTCTCCACTGGAGCAGCTGGTGGATTCAAACTGCTGACGTTTTGGTTAGCAGGTGAGTGTTTTAACCACTGCACCACCAGGACTCCATTCTTGCACTAAAGTAAGGCTAAATAAGAACCATATGCACCTGTTCTGACTTACCTACAAATTCGATTTGAAGACACACTTAGGAAGAGATCTCGTTCCTAACCCAAGGACTGCCTGCATATTGTGAGTTGTTTTCCTTGAAGTGACAGGCTTATTTGGTTCCTGTTTGGGAACATGCCTGCCATTTACTCATCTGAGTAACCATAATTTGTCTGTCAGTCCTACTTTCAAGTAAAAATGGCGTTCAGTTTGGGAATCAAATAATGATACAATCACAGAATAGACAGAATCATCCTACTTTGTTACATAGCAAATTTATGTGGCTTTCCAAGTTCATCCCCCAAGATAGTAAACAGAATGCTCTCATGGGTCAAGATTTAATAAAATTAATAATATTTACGGCTTCACCAAGACAATCTTAAGTGAAAGTGTTTTGTTTTTGTTTGTTGTGTTTTTGATTTGTTTGTTTGCTTGTTTTACCACGAGAGTCCACGGCCATGAAGAATACATTGAGTACTGGTACAGTTTGGTGCCAGTGCAATAATAATCTGTGCTAAGATGACAGCAGTTTCACTTTTGCTTTTACACCATCAGTCTAAATGTCAACACAGTGAAAAAGAATAAAATGACACCTTACTTTTATGAAAACTGCCTGATCTTGTAGAATGCCTGAACGCATCTCTGAAACCCACGGAGTCCAGGAGTCACATTTTGAGCCTCGATGGCCAGCCTAGAGTAATAACTAAATGCCCTTTCTAATTCTAAAATTCTATTTACTTTACTTTTGCCTAACAAATGTAATAAGTGAGATTTACTAGCTTAGGGAGATCAGCTCAGGTTCAGTCTTCATTCACTGGATATTCATAAATTTTTTAATAACATGAAAAAGCACCTATATCTTCACTGACATTTACCTGTTTCTGATTACTACTATTTCTAAGCAGAGCAGGTCTTGAGCTTATTGAAAATTCATGTTATTTAAATTTTATTACAGTTATAAATGGTGAGGGATGATGCACAATAGCAACAGTCCCTTAGATATCAGCTAATAAGTTGTGAACAACTTGTTTATTAGGACATTATTCTTTCTTAAATTTGCTAAGGTTGTAACATCTCAGCAATAAGTAATTATTCAGGGAATGGAGCTAATAACCTTTGGGTGTTTATAAGAATATATTTTCTACATTATAAATCCTTCCCTCCATAATTAGACCAATTACAGAGACACGAGACTCGTTGACATTCAGATTGGATACCTACCTGCCTTAGTTGCATTTGCTAGAGAGTGCTCTAGAGTACTGAAATAAATGGATAATATTCAGTTGTTCTGAAAACATGACATTAATATTTTGTAACAATTGTTATCTGAGGACATTACAGCATGAAAATGCGTAAGTAACTGAGACAACTAGATTAAAAATATGTGCTATGGAATAATACAAAATTCCACATTCTTCACTACTGATGAACGAAGCGAGAAAAGATGGAAAGCAAATGTATATGCCAGAGAATATAGTCGGGAATCTGAATTAGGAATCCCAGGGGATCTATGTTGCTACTGGAGGAACAAAGGAAATTATTAACTCCTTTTCTGCAGGCATCACCAAGAATCTTGCTCTTAACTCAGTACTGTATACTCAAACCAAAACACTCGCTAAAGATGCCCTACTTCGGCCTCTTGAGCAGCTTTCAACACACAGGCAGGTCAGTGATTAAATTTTATATATTGTTAAAAAAAAAAAATTGGCTATTGAGTCAACTCCAGTTTATGGCGACTGCATGTGTGTCAGAGAAGAACTGTGTTCCACAGAGTTTTCAATGGCCGATTTTTCAGAAGTAGATTGCCAGGCCCTTCTTCTGAGGCACCACTGGTGAATTTGACCTGACAACCTCTCAGTTAACAATGAAGCACTTTAACCATTTGCACCGCCCAAGAACTCCATATTGTGTTTAAGTTGACAGATTTAGCTTAATTAAATGAGAATTTAAATATGTATGTCTGTTGGACAGTTAAGTGGAATTCCTTAAGAAGTGAAAATACTGAAACAGAGGCTTGACCATCTATCAAGGATAGTAGAGAAAGGGCTCTTACCTCGGGAATGAGCTACAAGTTCAGAGCTTCCCAAAGTGTGTGATGTAAAATTGCTACATCAAGTAACTTAAGGTGGCCCTCAGAAATGGATTAAAAAACATTATATTTTACAGTCAGAGTTATTCCCTTTTCTATTCATGTTCAATTTCTCTGAGTACTTCAGAAACAAAGTTTCAGTTCAATGTTAGCACCTGTAACATTTACTAAACTTTCTCAGGTAAAGACTCTTTGTCTAGAATCTAGATGATCTGCAAAGAACATTTCTAATGCCAAGATTCTAAGAAATAGCCCACGCTTATTATAGCTCTCCAAATGATATATGGAATAAAAACAAACCCTCTTGCCGTCAAGTCAATTCCTACTCATAGTGACCTTATAGAACAGAGTAGAACTGCCCCACAGGGTTTCTAAGAAGCAGCTGGTGAATTTGAACTGCTGACCTTATGGTTAACAGTCAATCTCTGAACCACTGAGCCACCAGGGCTCCAATCTATGGAATAAAGTAGGGATAGTACTTGAACTCTATGGAGAAAAAAAATCAAAATAGCCCTTCAAGAGCCCTTTATATCCCATGACCTTATAACACAATACAAATTTTTCAACTCCTACATTACATAGTTGAGGTACTATTAAATAAATTGTTGGCAGATACATTTTTTTTTTTGAACTTTTAACTTGTTAAAACTGATTTGGTTTTAACTGATTTGGTTAAAAATCTGCATCCATTTTTATGAGTGTATGTTAAGATACATATTTCCAAAAAACCATTGACTAACCTCTTGATATGAATTCACACTATAAAATGCTCTAGATTTTCAGAGTTAATATCATTTTATATACTTTGTTGTATACTATAAAAATGGCTTTTTTTATATTTTTCTAATTCATTATTTTTCACTTTTAAAGGTATAATAATTTTGATAAAGATACAAAGTCTATTCAATTCCTTTTTGTCATAATATGTTGAATTCCAGTAACTACTGAATTATAATTCTCCTTAAAGTAAACTAACCTGAGTGTTTAAAAGTAAAACCTGTTTGTAATATTTCAGACTGTTATGGATTGAATTGTGTCCCCAAAATATACGTCTGGTAATTCCTAACCTCTACACCTGTAGTGAGCCCTGGTGGTACAGTGGTTAAGCAGTCCTTTGCCAACCAAAAGGTCGGTGGTTAAAACCCACAAGCTGCTCTGTGGAGAAAGATATGGCCTTCTGCTTCCATAAAAATTTACAGCCTTGGAAACCTTATGGAGGCAGTTCTCTGTCCTACAGGGTCGCTGTGAGTCAGAATTGACTCCAGGGCAAAGGGTTTATGCCTGTGATTATAATCCCATTTGGGAATGTGTTGTTTTTGTTATGATAATGAGATAGGATTAGTGTAGGATGTGTCTTGAGTCAATCTCTTTTGAGATATAAAACAGATTAAACAAGCAAGCAGAGATGGGGAAAGAGAGATGCCAAGCCACGTGAAAACTGGCCAAGAACAGTAGCTCAGAAGAGACAAAGACATTCCTCCAGAGTCAACAGAGAGAGAAAGACTTCCTCCAAAGCCAGTGCTCTGAATTCAGACTTCTAGCCCCCTAAACTGAGAAAATAAATTTCTGTTTGTTAAAGTCATCCACTTGTGGTATTTCTGTTATAGCAGCACTAGATAACTGAGACAAAATTTGGTACCAGTAGTAGGTGCTGCTCTAACAGACTCCTAAAATGTAGAAGTGGTTTTGGAATTGGATAATGGGCAGAGGCTGAAAGAGTTTTAAGATGCTTAATAGTAAAAGCCTAGATTGCCTTTAAGAAACTGTTGTTAGAATTATGGACTTCAAAGGCAATACTGGTGAGGGCGCGGAAGGAAGTGAGGAGAGCTATACAAAAAGTCTTTATCGTCTTAGAGAATACATACGGCACCAGCGACAGAATGTTGCTAGAAATGTGTTTCTAGTGAGGTTTTAAAAGAAAATGATGAACATGTGATTGGACAATGGAGGAAGAGCAATGCTTTTTATGCAGTGGCAAAGAACTTGTCTGAATTATGTTCAAATGACTTGTAAGTGATGAACTTGGGTATCTAGCTGATGAGATTTCTGAACAAGATCTTAAAGGGTCCATGTGGTTTCTCATTGCCACTTACACTAAAATGGGAGAGGAAAGAGATGGACTTAAAAATGAACTCTGCAAAATGAAAACAGAACTTAAAGATTTGGAAAATTCTGTTGTACAAACAAAGGCCATGTGTCCTAGAATGTTCCCCAAGAACATGGCTACACAATCTTTTGTTAAAGAGATTAAGCCTATGACTGATGGTTCTAACCAACTACCACAGCAGAAAACCCATCAGCTTAGGCGGAAGGGGACAGAGTAAGAACAAAAGGAAAGAATGCTGTCTGCCTCTTGGAATTCTACAGGCAAGAAACCAGACAAAGGAGCTACATCTGTTGTGCTCCAGAAAAAGAAAAGGACCATCTCTGGATCAGCAGAACTGTTGGAAGGAGCACGGGAAGCAGGGCCTTCTCAGTTTCAAATGATGGGGCCACGGTCTCCTGGATCTCAAAGAGGTAGATCTTTGCCAATTCGATTCCAGAGTGTGTGGCTGCCATTAAGCTGTGCTGGGGGATGAGGCCACTGCCCAAAGCTGCGGGAGTGGGGCGGCCATGCCTAAGAAGTAGAGGAACGGGCCTGCCAGGGCCGAGGGAGTAGGGTAGCCACTCAAATGGACTAGGAGAATGGGGCTACCCAAAACTGAGGGAGCAGAGTTGCCATCCCAGTGGACCTGGAAGGCAGAGCTAAAGCATAGGTGCATGGGGCCTCCACCCAGAATCCAGAGGGTATGGCCAACACCCAGAGTCTGGAGGACAGGGCCATTGACTAGATGGTCTCAGAGAATAGAGGATTGTTTTCAAGCCTTGAGAGCTAATGTAAATTGTTCTGCTGGGTTTTGGACTTGCTTGGTGCTTGTTATCCCTTCTTTCCCTCCAATTTCTCCCATTTGTAATGGAAATTTCTACCTTGTGCCTGTTCCACCATTGTACTTTGGAAACAGATCACTTGTCATCTAGATTTCACAGGTTCCCAGATGAAGAGGAATTTTGCCCCAGGATGGAATATGCCCAAAGTCTCACCCATGTCTGATTTAGATGATCCAGAGGATGAGATTTTGGGCTTAGAGTTGATTTAAGACTTTTGGGATGACGTGATGGGGTGAATGTGTTTTGCATGTGGGAAGAACATGAAATCGAGGGACCAAAGAGTAGAATGTTATGGATTGAATTGTGTCTCCCAAAAATACGTGTTGTAATTCCTAACCACTATGCCTGTGGTTATGATTCCATTTGGGAATGGAGCTGTCTTTGTTATGCTAATGAGACAGGATTCCTGTAGGGTGTATCTTGAGTCAATCTCTTTTGAGATAAAAACCAAATTAAACAAGGAAGCAACAAGCAGAGATGGGGAAAGAGAGATACCAAGACAGGTGAAAATCACTCAAGAGCAGAAGCTCAGAAAAGACAAGGACATTCCTCCAGAACTGACAGAGAAAGTCTTCCCCTAGAGCCAGTACTCTGAATTTGGATTTCTAGCCTCCTAAACTGTGAGAAAATAAGTTTCTTTTTGTTAATGCCATCCACTTGTGGTATTTCTGTTACAGCAGCACTAGATGACTAAGACACAGACAGTCTTAGACTTATAACAAAATACCACCTCATTTCTAGGTTATGTTTCCTGTCATATGCTAAGTTTGAGTTTGGAGAATATAGCTATTTAAATTTATCATTTGATTGGGATGAAACAAACACTGTAAATTGAGACCTTGTCATATATATAGATATACAGATGTAGAGTTAGAGACAGATAGTTTTGTTTTGTTTTTTTGTTTTTTGTTTTTTTTTTGCTTCCAAAACGCTGGAGCAGTATCCCAGGCAAAAGCCTGAGCTGCAAAATAGTAACAGCCAAATATAAGTCATTGAAGAAATGAAAAATGCAGGACTGAATTCTGACAACAAATTGCTGGAAAATCTATAGGAAAATGTTAGAAGAGTCATATCTTCAATTTACAAGTACTCTGCTTAAAAATCAAAATGCAAATATGAAATTCTATAACATTACCTGAGAGTGGTATTTCAATTGCTGTTGAGAATTTTAACAGGAAGAAAATTAGAGATATGATCAATCCTCTTCCACTTAACCGCATCTCCATTGCTCTTCAGGAAGCAGATAACCCAGAAAGAACTAGTTTTGGTACACAGCTGAGGATAATGTGGTGAACCCAGAAACCTAAAAACAAAAATAAAAAAAAAGCAAACAGAATAGCATATTAGTAGATATACTCTCAATTGTCAACATAGAAGTTAAATATACTTTCCTGTTTGGCAATATTTTTTCTCTTTATGAAACTGTTCTCTAATGTTGTTGCTGTTAAGTGCCATCGAGTTGGTTCTGACTCATAGTGACCCTATGTACAACAGAATGAAACACTGCCCAGTCCTGCACCATCCTCATAATCATTGCTATGTTTGAGCTCAATGCTGCAGCCACTGTGTCAATCCCTCTGTCGTTTAGGGTCTTCCTCTTTTTTGCTGATCCTCTGCTTTACCAAGCATGATGTCCTTCTTCAGGGACTGGTCCCACCTGATGACGTTTACAAAGTAAGGGGCATTCTGGCTGTACTTCTAAGACTGATTTGTTCGTTCTTCCGGCAGCCCAAAGACATCAATTCATCTTCTGTCTTCCTTAGTCACTGTTCAGCTTTCTCATGTATATGAGGTGACTGAAAATACCCTGGCTTGGGTCAGGTACACCTTAGTACTGTAAGTGACATCTTTGCTTTTAAACACTTTAAAGAGGTCTTTTACATCAGATTTGCCCAATGCAATACATCATTTGATTTCTTGACTGCTGCTTCCATGGGTGTTGATGGTGGATCCAAGTAAAATGAATCTCATAACTACAGTTATTAAAATGTTCTCTAATAACACCATATAAATATAATTAGTTGTCCCTCTCTGTATTTAAAATAAAGGACATTTACTATATGCTTTATTATAAACCAGAAACCATTTCAATGAATCATTTTTAAGTCACAGAAATTTTTACCTAGAAGGCACTCTAGTATTATTACAATGAGTGTAAATGGCTATGAGAATAACTTTCACTAATTTCATTCAAAAAGGTGACTCTTTCACATTAAGTCTTTATATCAGGCATCTAACTCTTTCTGAGTCAATATTAAGGATCACAAATACAAATCTTTGATTTTTCTAGTGAAATTGCTTTTCGTCTTCAAACGTATCACATTAATAGAACTGGACAGTTCTAGTAAGTCACATAGGAGAGAAAAAAAAAAAAAATGGAGAAAAACCAGGAGTTTCAACTAAAATTCACAAATGTGAGTTTGGTTCAAGGAGTTAATAATGGCTTCAGTTACTTTCCATTTAAATAGAATGTTCATTCACTCCAAAATTTATCAGATAGAGGATTAGTATTTCAATTTTCCTTTTCTTTCTCTTTACAATTTAATTTTTTCTGGAATGCTGTGAATATGAAATTAGGTGTGAAACATCTAATCATTGTGTATAATGTACTCTTGCAAATGATAACACAACAATTTACTCCAGAATGTAGTATTAGTATTTCATGTATATGAAAGTTTATTTAGTGCCATGTTTTTCCTGTTTTTCTGCTTTTTGTTGGTGATTTTCTGATTAAAATGGTCCTCAAGTCTAGTACTAAAGTACTGTCTAGTGTTCCTATAAGCACAAGAATGTTGTGATGTGTCTTATGAGAAAAAATACATGTGTTAGATAAGCTTAGTTGAGGCATGAGTTATAGTGCTGTTGGCTGTGAGTTCAATGTCAGTGTATCAACAATATGTATTAAACAAGGTAGTCTTTCTTTTTTTATGAAAAGAAATCTTATTTAATATATTAAGAATTGACACGTTCGAATTGTGATGTTCAAAAGAATATTGAATATACCATGGACGGCCGGAAGAACAAACAAATCAGTCTTGGAAGAAGTACAGCCAGAATGCTCCTTAGAAGTGAGGATGGTGAGACTTCACCTCGCTTACTTTGGATGCGTCATCGGGGGACCAATCATTGCAGAAGGACATCATGCTTGGTAAAGTAGATGGTTAGCAAAAAAGAGGAAGACCCTCAATGAGACAGATTGACACAGTGGCTGCAACAGTGGGCTCAAACATAGCAACAACTGTGATGATTGCACAAGACTGGAAAATGTTTCCTTCTGTTATACATAAGGTTATGAGTCAAGTTGACTCCATGGCACCTAATTAAAACAGCAACAACAAAAACCATTGCCATCGAGTTGATTCCAACTCATGGCGACACTACAACAAAAGGTATCTTTAAACAGAAACACACTAAAATAAGGTTATGTATTGACTGGTTAACGAAAATGTGACCAGAGGCTCATAGGAACCTAACCCTGTATTTGCAATGGTTCGGTATTCATTAATTCAGTATTTGAGGGGACTTTATAGGTCATATCTACCAAGAATAATGAGAAACTACTGTATTCCAATCAACAGCAATAACAGAAATTTGGAAAAAAATTGCTTTCATTATGAAAAGCAGAACATTCCCTAAACTAGATAAACTAAGCTCTACATATCTGTACAAATTTAGGAGACATTGAGCTAGGTAGACATTTCTTAGATGAAAAGTCTGAAGAAAAGGTTAATGTCTGTCCTTTGAATTTTTTGTTTCCTTCCCTCTTCTGAAAGTTTGCTAATAGTTATCTAAATTCATTGTTTATAATTATAGATCATTATTTACTTGCAATCTATTATTTACAATTTTGTTCCATTAACATTCAGTGTCCATTGCTTTAAGGGCTTCTCATGTATTTCTTTAATGAGCTGCCCTCTATTTGAGCAAGGCTTTCAAAACCATGATGCTATTAGGAAACCATATTTCTAGGTTATACACCATCTATCATTCCACCCTGAAACAGGAAATAAAAATACTAGACAGTCAAATAAGTAAGAACTAGCTCAATTTCAATTAATCTCCTAATCTAGGCAAGCAAGTTCAATAGTCTCTAATTGCTAAAGTAAAATTGCTTAGAAATGGTAACTGTTCAATAGTGATATGACTTTTCAAATTTTAATAGTTTAAGTACATAGACTTGATCCAAGCAAATCTTTCATTAAAAGATGGCACAATGAACCAGTTGGCTTAAAATAAGACTATATATTAAGAGACTAACAAACATTGATGACACCATCAATTTCCAGATTGTGGATAATGGTTCATTCTACATCTGACCTTACCTCCTGCAGGGATTAGCTTCAATTTATCTGAGACTTATGTATTAAGAGGCTCTAGCGTAAAAATCATTGGAGATTCAAATGTAACCTCCTGGAAGCAGACCTCCATTAAGTGGTGACAACAGCCCTGAAACAGCTTTCAGTTTGGAAAGTCAGTGATAATTTCCTTGTCAGAAAGCAAAAAGGGCATACCTTTTGGTAATTCTGTTTTTCAACAGTAAGATCATATAATTGACACTTCCTGACCTGCCTCAGTTTCTTCAATAAGAGCAGTGCCATGAGGATTAAGAACTCTATTTACAGACAGAAATAGAAACGTGGACAGGCATGCATACCACATGGGGTTGCTTGCAATTCAATAATATAAAAATAAAGTCCTTTGCTCTCCAAAGCACAGTAGCCTATAATATACACTCATCATCAGTACCACAAAGTGACTTCATAACCCCTCTGATGCTCTTAAAATAGCTTCATGGTGACAAAGCTAGAAACAACTTACTCTCTTCTTAACTCAAACTAGTCTTCTCTTACAAAATGGAAAGCAAGTTGGCCCAGCTTTTGTCCATTCAACCTGGTCTCTAGGCTCCCAAAAAACCAGTTGACATTGAGTCAATTCCGACTCATGGCTGCCCCATGTGTATCAGAGTAGAACTGTGCTCCGTAGAGTTTCTAATGGCTGATTTTTCCAGAAGTAGATCGCCAGGCCTTTCTTCTGAGAGACCTCTGGGTGGACTTGAACCTTCAACCATACCGTTAGCACATTAACCATTTGTACCACCCAGGGACTCCTAAAGCTCCCAAAGTCTTATATAAACACAAAGTTATTGTGGCCTGCTGAACAGCCAACAGAAGGGAGTGAGGTGTAATGAATAAGATCATGGAGAATGGACTCAGGAAAATCTAAGCTCAAAACCATTAGCTATATGGCCTTGGGCAGTTTACCCAAACTCTTACTCATCTCTACAAATAAGTCTAATAGTTTCTGCCTGATAGCACACTAATGAGGGTTTAATGAGGTAATATAGGTTTGTCGTTTTTAGGTGCCTTTGAGTCGGCTCTGACTCAAAGCAACCCTATGTACAACAGAGCAAGACACTGCCCTGTCCTGCAGTAAATTCTCACTTTGCACAGTTATGTTTGAGCCCATTGTTGCAGCCACTGTGTCAATCCATCTTGTTGAGGGTCTTCCTCTTTTTTGCTGACTCCCTACTTTACCAAGCATGATGTCTTTCTCCAGCGACTGGTCCCTCTTGATAACATGTTCAAAGTACGTGAGATGAAGTCTCTCCATCCTTGCTTCTAAGGAGCATTCTGGCTGTACTTCTTCCAAGGCAGATTTGTTCATTCTGGCAGTCCATGGTATATTCAATATTCTTTGCCAACAACATAATTCAAAGGCATCAATTCTTCTTTGGTCTTCCTTATACATTGTCCAACTTTTGCAAGCATATGAGGCGATTGAGAATATCACATAGGTTTAGCATAGAATAATAAATGACATTTACTAATAGTAGTGATAATGATGGTGATTGTGTTGTTAGTGGTAATAATGATATTTCTATTAACAATATTCTGACCCAGAAAGTATGGTTAACTCATATGGCTTCCATCACAGTTACAAAACTCTAATGACTTAAAAAATAAAAGTGTCTTCATTAAACTAGTGGTCAAATGATGTTAATTAATTCAAAACACTCTAAAAAAAAAAAAAAAGTGGGAGGGAGTGATGGCAAAAACACCTTCAATTCTTCTCTGTCCACCCCTTGTATCAACATTCTTTACAAAATGATAGCTCCACCCATCATGAAGCTACTTCCTCACTTCTTTAATCTGGCAGACCTTGTGACCTGCTTTGACTAATAGAATGTAGTAGAAACTATAGTATACTAGTTCTGAGCCTACGTCTC